GCAGAAATACATACCGCTTGTTCATGTTAAATGCACCTATAAAGCCATTTGGAGTATATCCATATGGTTCCAGGGTGTGTTACCAGGAGCAGTCCCATCACCCTATAAAAATTAAGAGCTGTGACAATACAATAAATGCTGGGATTGTTTCGTTTGTATGCTAAATCCTGAACTCTCAGGCAGTTTGCTATCTTTCTCATGTTTTTTTACCAAAATGTTGAAATTTGTTTAAAAGAGATTAACAGGAGCAAATACCCATGGGCCATGCAGAAGTCTCAGCATCCCCAACTGTTTACCCAGTTCTAGGCCATATTACAATTGCATGATATTGGCTTGAAGCACAAACATGATGGGTAGTTAAATGAATCATTTCTGTAGGTCAGCACGTTTGATGTGCCACAATTGTTGGTTGAACTTCCAAAATTTTGGTCTCTTGAAAAATTGTATTTGACAGTTGTTTACATGTCATATTTCTATAGAAGTTAACCTTTTAGTCATTTTTTACTTGTTTATCCTATCAAGTGTTTTTTCCAAGGAGCTCATGATAGCATGTGTGGATGTTTCCACGTTTTTTAAATCTTCTTCAGCAGTCCTAAAATTAGATTAGGCTGACCTGACTTCAGTGGGTTTGGCCCTGCAAGCCAAATGCATTTTTGATGTCTCTAGATCCAGCCTTAAGTATTTGTATACTCAAGGGAAGATTGAAAGGTTCCTTCTCGCTTGCCTCTGTGCCAAATGTTAGAACTTCTGAGCCATCCTGCTTGCTCCTCCAGTTTGCAGGGCCCTGACAAAGGCATTTGCCCATTCCAACACCATACCAACAAGCCATCCACGGCTGGTGTCTCTAGGTCGCTTCCTCTAGTCTAAAGCTATGAAGATCCTTGGTTTTGGACTGGATTACAACAGGGCAGTTCCTGTTCACCCACCTCATGTTTTACTTCAGCTGCTTCTGTATCAGATTTCTCAACCCATTTCTTCCTCCTGATGTGGCAATCCTTTGAACACTGTTTGGTATTTCCCGACCTCCTCTCTGTAGGCCTTAGACCAGGGACAGAGAACATTTGGCCCTCCAGACATTGTTGGACTCCGACTCCCATTAGCCGTGGCCACCATGGTCAATGGTCAGGGATGATGGAGCTGTAGTCAAGCCACAACTGAAGGGCCACAGGTTTCTCATACCTACCTGGGACCTTTCATCTTCCTCCTACCAGCCTGTATTCCCAAGTAAAAGAAAGCATGTCAGTTGGTCAGAGTGTGGTGCTGATAACATTAAGGTTGCAGATTTGATCCCCATATGGGGCAGCTGCATATTCCTGCATTGCAGGGAGGTCGACTAGATGATCATTGGGGATCATCAACAACTCTACAATTTTATGATTCAAAATGACTCTGGGAAGTGAAAGCCCCTTTCCTCTCCTGTTTCAATAAAAAGTACCGTGTTATGTCCAGTACAGATGTAAAACTGCCCCAAAAGTAACTATATTTGGGAGTGGACAAAAGTGATTGTGTGCTCCCTCCCTCTCTCTAATATCTTCTGTCTCCTTTAATTGTGATTTAGCATTTTAGCTGATAAGGGAGCTCCTGAATCAAGGTTAGAAACCAAAGAATGGGCCAGAATAATGGGTGTGGGTGGGTGTTATATCAGGGCAAGGTAGTTACGCTGTCAGGGCAGCTCTGTCCTGCGATGCCATTAAAGTCAAGCAAAAGGACTAAAGGTTCCTAAACCAGACCACCAGTTTACAGGAAATCCACAGGCCTTTTAGCTGGATGTTTGATTGATTAAGACTTGTAGTGTATCACTTTATGCTCTAAGGGCTATACTCTAACGGCTAAATGTGATTTTCATGTTTTATCACTGCCTTTCCGGAAACTCATTAACTGTAAGGTTGTAACACTTTGATTTGAAGGAAGCCTCTTTCCTCCTGACTTGTTCCTGAAGAATTATTGAATGAGTGTGCCACTGGTTCAAGTCTAATCACAGCCACGAACTCCCCAGGTACTTTTAGGCAAGCTCTGAGCCTTTACTTCATCCCCATCTGCAACATGGGGATAGTAAAACTGACCTACCTTGCAGGGATATTGTAAGAATTTCTGAGAAGACATATGAAGGGCCATGAATATTCAAAAAGTTCTGTATAAATTCTGTGGGTTTTTTGCCCTAATATATATGCTAAAAAGAAAGGGCTGCTCTGTAATTTGTCTCTGAAGGCCTTTGCCATTTCACGAATAATTTCTTGAGCTTGTTTCAATATACAAATGTTATTTAACAGCTAATCAAAACATTTGCAAATACTAATATTTGCCACGTAATAGATTTCCACAATATGAGTGTGTCTTTGTGTGCATGCATTTGCACGCACATCTTTGTGTACTGGTGAAGAAGGATCCCATTCACATTTCAGCTGTATAGAGAGAATGGACTAAAGGTTTTAGGCTCCTGTTGATTCTCAGAGACAGTATGATCTGTGCCCTAGTGAATGAGTCATGCAGTGAATTGTGGTAATTTAATATTTTAAGATGAAGAGGTGCATTGATTTTTGCAGCAGGTGAAAATAGTGCAGAAGAACTATGTTACATGCATTGGGAGAGGAGGGCAACAATCTAATTTTGGCCTGGTGGCAGTAGTATAGATTTTCCAGCCAACTCAGCAGAAAAGCCATTTTAAGGGCACAGAAACAGCAGCTGCAGTATTTTCAGCTAGTTGATGCACAGCTAGAAGCACCTGTGATGGCTAACAGCAGCCTCTTATTTTGCTATGCCTGGTCCATCAATTGCAAAGTTGAAGTTTATCTCATCTCTATCTGGATTTATCTTCTTACTCTCTTTAATAAAGTTTCTGGCCTTTCTGAAATCAGAAGCTTGCAAACTGGCTGATCTCTAGGTCACTTATTTCTGGTAGGTGGAAGTTGCGTGGACAAGTGTGGATTTTTCTCTTCCCTCCTTTAAAACAAGACCTCCTCCCCCCCCCAAAAAAAATACAGCAGTCTGTTTTTGACAGGCGGATCCAGACTTATGCTTCTTCATGTATGACTCTGCAAAATCCAACAGACTGTGTTAAATTACTACAGATGCATTGATAAGGAGGAGCAATTTTCCTGAGTGAGCATATAACAGGACTAGCCAAGCCTCACTGCAATGCTTGACTGTGCTGGAACTGGAGTAAAAGCACATCTTTTAGTTCCTTCTTTTCCAAATATGCTCTATCTTTCTTTATTTTTTTGCCTTTTTTGTATTTGTTTTTCTGAAGAAAAAATGCCATTTGTGATCTTATCCAGCGTACTGCCTGCAAAGATATTGGCTTCTTTTTTTACCTATTGTGGAAAAGAAGGCATCATTTTGGAATAAAACCAGCAATCTCTGCAAAGGATTTTGAGAGACTTAAAAACATAGTAATCCTGAAAGAAGGAGCAGACAGTCCATGAGTTGTGGAGAGAGATACTACCCTGTTTTTATCACCAGTTTGTGCTGAAGGATAGTTACAAGTGAAGGATCTCTGTTGTAGACTACAATTTTCATCCTGCATGGAGAAATCTACCTCTTCAGTTTTAAACCTATGGCGTGGTTGACTTTGGAATATCTCCCAAATGCTGCCTTTTACCCATTTTTGGCAAGTTTCTGGATAGAGAGTTAACATTGTAATTCACATTTAAACAAGAAGAGACGTATCCTCTGGTGTGAAGCTCTTCACAGTTTGTCAGGATCCAGTTTTATTCTGCCATCTCTCATCATGCCAAATTTCCCCCCCTTTAAGTCTTCATGGATACACCGTGCCGTCGAACTGGTAAAATCAGACTCTGTTATGCAAAAGCATCACAGCAGGATTTGTTGGTGGGAATCTTGTTGTGGTTGTTTTTTGGTGAAGAAAACCTCCTTTTCTGGAACTCGGCTGGTTGCGCCTCTCCTTTGACTCCGGGGATCAGGACGGATAGGGAAATATTCTGAAACTGAGGAGAGCTGGCTGCTGAGTGTCTGTTAATAGCTTGAAAGTAACTGATGAGGAGGATGTGCCTTCAGACCGATTGATTGAATAGCTGCAGTCTTCTCGTGCATTTCCTCCTTGCTCTCTGCAAGCTGTAGCGAGGGGAGGGGGAAGAGTGGGAAAAAACCGGCTTTCTCTTAAGTGGAAGTAGCACGGATCCCAAGGGCCAGGAGGCCAGAAATGGAACTTTAAGCTGCATCAGTCTCCCGAAAGGAGAACAGCGGGAATAAAAAATGCCAGCCGTCGGCGTCGTAGTTTACTCCCTTCCTTTTCAATCCCGAAGATAACAATGGACTTTTTCTTAGGATGTGGTTTTCTCTGTTCTGTGCTGAGTGTCTGTCAGTTAAGCTGCATTCCTTTAAGCTTAGGTTTGTGAACTGGAAATGGGCAGCAGTTGTGATAAAGGTATCTTATCTATAGTTTTCTCTGTGAAAAAAATGTACATATTGATCCTGTCGTCTTTGTTTAGGCAGATGTTGTGATCACAAAGTCATAGCTTAGGTCATGCTGTCAGAACAAGGAGAAAGTGACCTATTTTTTCTTATCTGCAGTGGTTTTCATATTATGCACCATCAAGTGTGTGAATCTTTTGGTGGCCTTAGGTTACAGTCTTGTTCATGCATGCTTTAGAGTAAGTACTATTTAACTCAAGACTTACTTATGGGTAAACATGCATAGGTTAGGACTGTTACTGTCTGAACTATGAATTATGACCATCCCTATGATATCGAACCTCAACCTTTAACAAGTTATGTTCAGTGCAGTTTATATCAGGAGCACCTCCTTATTGTGCTTGCCAGAATTAACTCCCTTCATGCCTGAGTACTTTTCAGTTGCAGATAATATGTGTGCTGTAACTTTGCCAAGGAAGTACTGAACAGAGCAGAGTCTTTTGAATTGCTTGCGATGTTCGCTTTGCAAACGAGAGTAAAGTTTCCATAACCTGTAAATAGTGAGAAATGTGTCTGCCTGCGGGAAATGGTCTTTCATTTTTCTCACCTTTTCCCCTTCCCCCCTCCAGAGGTCCCAGCAGAGAGGTCTCCTCGCAGACGGAGTATCTCAGGGACAAGCACATCAGACAAAACCAACCCCATGGACCCATCAAATACATCTCCATTCAAAGTGCCGGTAAGTATCCTTTCCTTGGAAGGGGAGGGGTCCCAGCTGAAGGTCAGGGTGACTAAAATGGCCTATGAACAAACAGCATTCCTTATCAATTTGGGGTTAAGAATTCAGTAGGCAGCCAAAAGGCAGACGTATTGTCACAAGTTGTCTGATTAATATTTATCTCCTGATAGACCCAAAACTTATCCCTGCCTTTTTTTTTTATCCTTGACCCAAAGTCATAAATGCCTTAAACTATATGATAAGGCTACATGTGGATGGATCTCTGTTATACTGAAATACTTTTGATACCACTGTGTTGACTGTATAGTAGATAGTGAAGCTCTTTTCCAAATAAAAACGTGTAGTTGGCCCAGGTTACACACTTTAGGAAGATGTCTGTTTTTCACCATAAGGTGATGCGAAAAGGACAATCATGAGACCCATACACACCTTTCCATACTTCATCAGAGGGTCTTCTCCAGGTCACCCCACCTAATGAAGTGATGTGGGTGACCTCTATGGAGAGGACATTTTGGGGGGGTTGCTTTCTGCTTATGAAATGCTCTTCTCAGACAGGGTTGCCTGGTACCTGCACTATGGTATTTTAGATGCAACAACCCATCTGTTCCCTCAGGCCTTTCCATTACAATTCGTTGGGTTCTTCAGTTCTTTGCTCCTATTCCCTCCCTTCCTGAGTTTTATGCTGGTTTCAATTATTTTATTTGTTTTAGCTGCTGTGTGTTACACTGCTTTTAGCTGGAGTTTCTGATGTGATTTATTTTATTTTGGCTTTAGTGGTTTTATTATGAATTGTATTTTGTATTTTATTCTGTGTAAACTGCCTGAAGAGGTTGGTTGGATGAGTAGTACGCAAATCAAATCAAATCAATAAATGAGGATATCCTGATTTGTGCTGGCCACTCTCATAGATGCTATAAACTTTAAAAATCAGGTTTGCAAAATGTAACCCTTCAATTGCAAAATATATTTGCATTTTGGGTGCATCTCATGGCTAGTATCTGTGTGAAAACTCAGACTCAATGAGAAATGAGACCCTTCATTTGCCCAACTGGACAAAAGGGCCTTACTTTCACAACAGCAATAAGGGGGGAAATCTATTCAAAGTGAGCAAAAAAGCAATGTGGATTTCAAAGGCAGAGGAACTTACCATTTCCGGCTTGCGTATTGGCCTTCAGTTTGCACAATGAGCCCTAATATTTGGTTATAAATTACTTGGGTTTTGTAACAATTAATCCCAAAAGCCGGGAATTTCTTCCCATAATTTGTTAACAATTGATGAATCAAAATTGTAGCACAACTGCTATAATATTTATGTAGCTTTTAATAATGATGATGATTATTATTACTACTACTAGAAAAGGCGACTCGGTTACTGCACAAATCAAGTTAAAGCTGACATGCTTTTTAAAAAGTATACCTTTAAAAAAAAGAAAAATGTAGTCAGCCACAATATTATGGACAGTAGTTTTATGATCCACTTACTAGTCTGCAAGAAATAGGCGAAGGGTCCTTTTGTTCACTTAATCCCCCAGCCTGTCTTACTTTCCCAACCTCTTTTTCCTCTCCCTCCTATCTCCATTCCAATTATTGAGAATAGAAATTTTCAGCTGACAATGGTTTCAGTTCTATTTATGTTCTTAACATTAGGCAATTTTAAACTATTATACAAAGCCATCGTGGATTGTTTTTAGGAGGAGACTATTTTGAGTTTTGCTTTCATTGAAGTGGATCAGCGTTTAATGAGCTTTAGTTATATAATCATTCCAAACCTGGCATAAACTGTATGTTTGAGCATTTCCCCTTTCCTTTTTTTATAAGTATTAAATGAATGACAGATCTATCCCAAACAGATTAAACACTGCTATGTCAGCATTTAGGTATCCATGTTATATGCATTGTCAGAGTGAAGAGAGAGAGAGAGTTCACACTGCAGTAATGGGTCCTACTCTTCCTCCTATTTAACCTTTGAGCAACCCTGCCGTAATCATTTGTATATTCTGGGATCAATATTATACAGTTAACACAACAATAATTTATCGAGGCATGGAATCAGCTCTGCATTTCCTAATCTCTTCACCCAGGGAAATTTGTTTTAGCATGTATTTCCAAATACAAACAATGTTTGACACTTGAGGGCCCGTTCAAATGACTTGATTTCCATTCACAGAGAGTTGCCTGCAAGAACTTGGCCCTTCTGGTTCGATGGGATGGTTTGCTTGCTGCTATTCCAATGATTATCTGTAAAATTAAGCATTGTATGAAAGATAGGCGCATGTGCTCTTGGTGTGTTTTCTATGGTAACATTTCTATTTGTCAAGCAGGGTCACCCACAACTACCATGCTACTCTACAAATTCAGTTTGTGCCAAAAGGAAAACGTATTTTCCTATGGTTTGAAGAGCTTTGATGTTAAAAAAAAAAAGGAAGTCCAGTGCCAGTCTTCTAGGAGCAGAAGAAGATTGCAAAAAATAAATAAATAAGAAGCTTTCATAGGTGTTTCAGTTGTTGTTGCAATTGGGTTTCATATTTTGTCAAGTTTGCACTGCTAGGCAACAGAGACATGGCGACAGGCAAATGATTTTTAACTCTTTACTCAAGTATTTGGTATAGGATTGGCTCAACTTTTAAACTATTGGCTCCATGGAGTAGAGCCCTGTTACAGTAAAGTTATCCTCAAGGAGGAGGAGGGCTTGCATGCAAAGCGTATTCAGACTTTCAGATTCATTTACATTCTGTCATTTCAAAATGTGGAGAACACTGGATTTTCCAGGCTTGGTGTGGCTTGTGAGCTAGCAAGATCTGGGTTCACGTTGTAGCTCAGGTCTGAGGTTTATAGAGGAGTCTTTGGTGAGTTTCTGTGTCCCTGCCAAAGTTTTTTTAGAGAGCTGTTGTGAGGATAAAATGAAATTAACCTGCAGAAATTTGCCCCTGGGTGGGATGGGATAAAAATGTAACAAGCTGAACTTCAACCTCTTCTTGCCCTCGCTTCCTGGGTAAAGCATGACATAATGCTCAGAAACAGATTGGCGGTTTCAAAATAAAGGCGTTAGAGATATGTTGCGTTCAGGGTGCGCCTGTGTGTGTGTCTTTTAAAAATGCAACCAGGCTATTTTAAAAATTCACTTCTGAATAGAACATTCACATCCAGTACATTTTCCGCAGTTGTCCGTGTAGGAGCCAAACAGTGGCATCCATACAAAGAAGGCGACTCAACTGTACAACTGTTAATAGGCCTTTGTCCAGCGCTTGGAATTTTGATTTACAGTTACATAATGTACTGCAAGTGAAATGCTTTTTTCCTTGTTCTTTTTGGAAGGAACTCTTCAAAGAGCTCTCTGGCTGTTGAGTGTTTGGAACTGCCCATATTTAGAGGCTGACGGTTAAAATTCAACTTTGCCCTTCCATTTAAATATTTGAGGTTACTATTTTTTACCAACTTACTGCATGATGAATATCCACTGACCAGCTTATACTTGGCAGTTTACGCTTACAAGGGATGACTCAAGAGTCAGATCCTGACCTCATAAGAGCATAAGAGCCTGCTGGATCATGCCAGTGGCCCATCTAATCAGCATCCTTCTCTCGCTGTGATGCCCAGATGCCCACCTGAGCAGAACAGCACTCTTCCCTCCTGTGTTTCTAGCAACTCTCATTCAGAAGCATCCTTCCTCCAACCATGGAGGGAGGCAGAGCCTAGCCATTGATAGCTTTCTGCTCCAGGAGTTTGTCTAATCATTTTTAAGAACCTCAGTGCCAGAGCCTGCCCATTGCCTCATGACTTGCCAGTTGTGCCCCCCCCCCAGCCATGCCATAACCTTTGGGTTGCACTGATGCCAACACCAGCATCTCCTTGATGCCAGGAGACAGAAAAGTCCAGGAATGCTGCAAGCAACCACACACACACACTGGTTTACGAACTTAATCCGTTCTGGATGTCCATTCTTAAACCAAAGCTGTTCTTAAACCGAGGCCCGCTTTCCCGTCTCCGGTGCCCTTTCGGCTTCCGTTCGTAGATCGGGTTAAAGTTCGCTAACCAGAACACTGCTTCCGGTTTTGCAAAGTTCATTTACCGAATAATTCATAAACAGGGCTGTTCTTAAACCAAGGTACCACTGTATTTCAAAAATATAATAATGATGCACTGGAAATAGAAAGGAAAGGGGTAAGTGAGAAAAGCTGTTTAAGGAGGACGAAGCGAATATAGAACAGCCAAGGAAGTAACATGAAAAACTGACAGGGTGTTGGGTTGGGGGGGGGGCGGATGGGGTGTGTGTGTGTAGAATTAAGTTTGAAAGAATAGGATAAGAAACAACAGGAGATGGATCAAGATACTTTAAGAGGCATGCAGGATTGGAAAGGGGAAAGTGTAAAATGAAAATCATTTTCTACTTGGATCTTTTAGACCAGCAGCGAATTCTACATGAATGATGCTGTTAAGACACAATACCCCCCAAAGCAAATAGCACAAGGGAAGCTGAGCTATGGAACTCCTTCCCACAGGAAACAAAATGGCACAGAATTTGACAATTTCCAGAGATGTGCTGGATGTTGATAGAAAAGGATGCTAGTAGTTTCCTGCTGACTTTGCCAAATTCTGTCTCCCATCTGCCGCCAGATTGACAAAGGCTGGGCAAAGGAATTCCACTGGTGGTTGGTTGTGAACTTTGAGCACTCCCCACCTTTTGGTCTTGTGCCATCACGAGTAGCATCTGAATAAAAACCTCTGTCGGGCAGTTTGTATTTTGCAGTAAGTCTTCAGATATGCTGCGCTGCCATGTACACAAGAAGTCAGAAGAACCGAAGACATGTTATTTACTTTCTTGTTCCTACAATTTTGTTCTCTACTGTAAATTCACCACAAAATATTCAGATAATAAGCAGTTTTCTCTGTTTCTTTTGATCGGAACTGCCACAATCTAATGGACCATAACATTGGGAAATATTTCCTGACATGAAGCATCAATTTTCTTTTGTTAGGCCAGAGCTTCTCATTTGTTTCAG